TATTTAGCTGCGATGTATGCAGAATTAATGTGCTCCTGATCATATTTTATGTTTTGGAAACTTATATAGATTTCATGTATCATTTCATTTATTTTCTCTGATCACGACCAGGCTCGCGAACAACTTGACGATAATTGGACTCTAATGCCGACTGGCATGCCTAATATACCACGCCAGGCTGCATGGCTTGCCAAATCAACTAAGCCAGGCGCTGTAATCGGATTCGATCCTCAACAGTTGCCACATTTCTCATGGCGCCAATTGGTGTCTGAGCTGCGCGAGGCGGAATCGGAATCTCTAAACGCATCCAATGAAAATTCTCAAATTGTGCACTCTAGTCATGAGCAGCCTATTGGACTAAATGCTCTGGAAGTTGGCGAGGCCCGACCTGCTTATACGAGACGACGTAGATATCAATCTCCTGGCCAAGTAGAGACTAACCTAAATTTGGGAGAATATCGCTCGTCTGCTACGTAAGCATTACTTAAGTGATCGCTTCAGTTAAATAGGAGGCTAAATGATTTGTACTTCTTCCATCTTGCATTTTTAAGTCGCTTTACCTACACTGATTATATCATATTTTTAACTAAGAACTTATAATCTGTTATATGAAATGTATTCACCCTCTTTCGTTTAAGATGATGAATGATTGATAGTAGAATTTTCCCACTATGATATCAGTAGAGCTGACTTTTCTATTGAATTTACATAGCCTTGCTTTCCCAAAAGTTGTTCTCATCCAGGACGGACGGCAGTTTCGACCTCGCATAGGTCTTACCAACATCCCCAGCGGAAGTCGAACCGTGACAGTGTAGCGTGTGAGCTTGACACGTTAACCACTCGGCCACATTGCCACAAGTGCCCTTGAGTCATAGGGCAGATAAGAGCTTCAAGGAATGTCAATCATGTGGCCAAGGGGCTAACGTGTCAAACTCTCATGCTGCACTGTCACGGTTCGACTCCCGCTGGGACTGTTGATAGGACCTATCCGAGATCGAAACTGCGGTCTAGCCTGGAGGAGAACAACTTTTGGTAAAGCAAGGCTATGTGGAATTCAATGGAAACGTCACCTATACTCATCCCTTTGGGAAAATTATGCTACCAGTCCTTAATCACCTTAAACGAAATAGGGTAAATAGATCTCGTATAATTGATTTACTGGTAGTCTCGAAACTCTACTTATATACGAAAAATTGTGTTGTTTTTATATTCACTAATTTTGCTGCTTGTTGATATCTGTTTTGTCTTCGCTTAATAGCCTCGCATTATAAGCAAAATCAAAAAGTCCATTCACTTGAAGCTGTTATTTTTCCACTGGTCTGTTTTGGGATGCAAATTTTCTTTTCTTTCGGTACTTAAATATTTCTTATCTGTTTAATGGAGCTTTCTTGATCAAAGTTATCTAAGGCTGAGAAATACAAGCATGACGCTGCATTGTCAGCAGCTCAGCTTCTGATAGTTAAAGGCTTAATTTAGTATAAAAGAATTAAGTGCTTACTAGAATTGAGTCAGGTTGTCCTAATCGGGACATTTTTACCGGTACATTTAATATTATTTGTCTTCAAATCTAAAAGTCCTTCCAATATAAGAAGACTAATCCTTGGAATCCTTGTAGGCAGACATTGGGTCTGCTTCTAACACACCTCATTCATAGGCAACCAGAAATGCATGTGCCTTTCTATAAGGCGTGGGGGTTATGGTCACTTATTTTGATACGAACAATTTTGTTGAAGAGTTTGGATTCGATTACCTAATTGTTTCACAACATGATTCTTCCATCTGAAATGTAAATATTCGTCACTTCTGAAGAGGACATAAATAAGCAAGTATCTGTTATTGAGTTAGCAGCTACACTCTCAATGAACTAAACGCGAATTGAGAACCCTTTTAACCATGAAATTTTCTGTCTGCTTGATCAATTTGATATCGTGGAGTTTCTCCATCTAGCTAGCTTTTAAGTATAGATTATTATTTCCTCACACGTTGTCTCCATTCATAGCGGAATCTTTTCTATCCATTTTGTTCAGTTAATTTGTACCTACTCATACTATCCCTTGTGATTAAATTTCATGAGCAAAGATATGCAAAGAACAAGATTTCAAGCGTGGTGCCACCATCGCCTTTAAATTTGCTATCTGCTATAATCCAGTCATTTGAAGTTAAATGTTCAATTGGTATTTAAAATATTTAATAGGAGGCCTATACATATTTGACTGGATATTGTAGGCCACCGTTAGATAATGTTCGCATGGATATATTAAAGAAAGAGCTCGTTATCACTTACAGATGACAATAAAAAGAGATTTTTTTGCTGGACTTTTATGATTTTAAAGTATGTATATTTAAAATTACTTCATGACTCGGATTCGACTACTTTGGTTTTCGTCACTATCTGCCCGATTAAGTAATATTTAAAAACATTCTCTATTTGCGACTATATAGATAACCACATCCTATTGTCCTACTCCTCCAACCTCAAATAAGACTAAGGCTTTCTTCATGCACTTATGTTTATGGTGGACGGAGGGATTGCCTTATTGATTCCTTTTGCGAGTTATTGATTAACTATTTTGAAGTATAAATTTGTATTTCTATTTTCGTCATGAATTACCACTATTGGAGTCAAATTTATAGGGGAGTCTACCAATTTTCTTAGTAAATATATATTTCAAATTTAGATACGAAGACCAAGATGCTGTGGCCTCTATTTTGGTTGCAGTCTCCTTTCAATGTATACTATTTGTTTGACCTTGTTTTCGCAACTAAAAATGGCCTACTGACTACGCCTACTAGGATGCCGACGAAAGGTCTAGGAATGTAGCAGGTCCATGGTCTGACTCTGGAAATTATCATGCATACTATGGACTCCGGACAAAATGCGTTCCTCTAGGTCTTCCTGCCAATATGACAAAGTTGCGAAAACACGGTCAAACAACTCTATTTCACACAGTGGACATCATCCATAATCTACGAAATGCCCTAAGGGAATTAAATATAGCTCTCGATTCACTTAGGCTATGTCAAACCCCGGGTTCCACTTCAATTAGGGCTGGGGATCAAATCGGTTGTTTAGACTATATTATATTGGGTCATCCAATTAATCGGCCTAGCGATGACCGACAACACTTGTTTCGACTTCTGGAGCTGTTTTATATCTGTATGGTATGAACAGTTGACTTATACGAAGAGTAACTGGATTTCGATGAATCTCCTGGTCAACATTGTTGAAGAGACTTTCATTTCGTATTAAAGTGCATGAAGAAAAGATTCAAAAGTCGATCTTACCAAAAGAGGACGGCGGATTCTCGTTATATTGCAGCCGTTCAGGTTGACGCAGTTCACGAGACATGCTCCCTCGTTTCGGGTGAAAACAGGCTGAGCTTTCGTCCATCTTATGATGGACATACTCAAATCTAGAACTCATTATTGTAAGCCTCACGTTAACACTAGGTCAAGACATTTGTCCGTTTCGTTTTTTACTTCTTGAATTAGCATTAATGCGAGACTTTTACAAGAATGAGTTCCTGCTCTGAGGATGTCTATCATATGATGGACGAAAGCTCAGCTCGTTTTTATCCGAAACGAGGACGGATGCCTTGTGTACTGCATCAACCTGAACATCGCCTGAAGCCAAATGGCTGCAGTACAACGGGAATCAGCCGTATTTTTGGTGAGATCGATCTTCCAATCTCTTCTTCATGTACTTTTATACGAAATAAAAGTCTCCTCAATAATTGACTTAATATTTGATCTAAGTATTGAGTAATTTACGTTGAGGCACAAGTTCAAATACAGATAGTAGGCTCAGCCACTTCTTAATCCAGAATGGAACCTAAAATAGCTCCTATTTACTAGTGATTCGAAAAGGCTTACCACACATCTCATACGTGATTTTCTCATCCCAAAATGGGGCCATCGAGTTTTATCATT